CTGAGGTTAAAACAAACACACTCATGTCTGAGGTTATACAAACACACTCATATCTGAGGTTATACAAACACACTCATGTCTGAGGTTATACAAACACACTCATATCTGAGGTTGTACAAACACACTCATGTCTGAGGTTGTACTAACACTCATATCTGCAGCATTTCGTCTTGGAGTGCACATGAGCGTGTTTCTTCACTCCAGGAGCTTCGAAACTCTTGAAACCTTTCCCTCCTGACTCCTTTAATGCAGAGTTAGATCTCTTTACACAAGCCTTCAGAGGTTAAGCCACAAAGCTGCCTCGCTCTCCCAGCTCATCGTAAACACTTAGGAAGGAGTCCCGTCTTGCTCTTGAAGAGCCAAATATACTCTCCCCTGAGGTAAAAAGTTTTCATATTCCAAAATCTTAAAAGTTATTTTGTGGTTTTGGAAGCCTTTAGAAGCCTCAAGAAACCAGAGACCAAGAAAGCATTCTTTATCCTTCATAGAACAAGAAAACGGGATCTTTATATATCCTTCGAAGAACAAGAAAACTGAATCATTATTATCCTCCAGAGAACAAGAAAACTGAATCATTATTATCCTCCACAAAACAAGAGAACGGGATCTTTATTTATCCTTCGGAGAACAAGCAAACGGAATCTTTATTATCTTCCACAGAACTAGCAAACGGAATCATTAATATCCTCCAGAGAACAAGAAAACTGAATCATCATTATTATCCTCCAGAAAACGATAAAACGGAATCATTATTTATCCTAAGACTCACTGAATAAATTTTTAGTTTAAATTTAAAACCAGCTGGAAGAGGGAGAAAAAAGCAGTTGTTACCTCTGGAATCCCTGGACTTCTGTGAGATCTCCCACAGGATCCTGAAGTAGACGACGATGATGACGAATAGTGGCATGAAGTACATGGCGGCGAGGCAGAAGAGATTGTAGGTCATCTCCTCTACCTGCGTCCTGAAGAACCCGAAGGTCACGCACTGCTTGAAGTTCTGGAACACTGGATGCGTGTCCACGTGGAAGATCACGCTCTGCAGGAGTAGGGAACTTATTACTGATGCAGTGTGATTTTCTGGGAGAGAGTGAGGCTCCGAGAGTTTGTTATTGGTGCTGGAAGATGGTGTTCCGGGGAGGGGACAGTCATTACTGCTGGAATGTAATTCTCTGAGGGAGGAAGAAAGTTCTTTAATGCTGGAAAATGACGCCCTAGAGGACAAGAAAGGTCGCTGTTGCTGGAAGATGACGCTGTAGGAAGGAAAGTCATTACTGCTGGAATGTAATTTTTGGGGGGAGGAAAAAGGTCCTTCACTGCTGGAAAACGATGCACTAGCGGGGAAGAAAGATCACTACTGCTGGAAGATGACGCTTGGGGAAGAAAATACGTCATTACTGCTAGAATATAATTCTTTGGGGAGGAAGAAAGTCCTTTAATGCTGGAAAATGACGCACTAGGAGGCAAGGATCGTCACTAATACTGAAAGATGACGCTCTGAAGGAAAAGAAAGCTTATTGCTGCTAGATTATAATTCTCTGGGGAAGAAGACGAGAGGTCGCTACTGACGGATACAGTACCTAAACCAAAATCATTATTTTTGTCACGTATCTTAAGAGAAGCATCACAAGAAAGAACGAACTGATATAAATTATATAATGTAAGAGAGGTGGTCCACTTTAAAAAAATGATTGCAAAGGGGGAAATATAGGAAAAAGGCGAATGCAATTTTTTTTAGACAGCCGTATGCAAGAAATCAGCAAAAAAAATATTGGTTTAGAAAGACACGTAAGCAAACACTATAACATATTTATTAGAAAACGTTTCGGTCCTGGGACCGTGATCAAGGTCCCAGGACCGAAACGTTTTCTAATAAATATGTTATAGTGTTTGCTTACGTGTCTTTCTAAACCAACTTGTCGGTATTTATTACCAAGGTTTATACCAAAAAAAAATATTAATTAATTAAGGGAAATAATCTCTGGCTGTAATATACACGGAATACTGCTAGTAACTGTTTTGGTGACTATAATTTATATATAAAGCCACAGTTTCTAGATGAAATTAGACAACGTTTCAGTCCGTTCTGAAGCACTGTCAAGTCGGGTTTTGACCATGGTCCAGTACGGACCGAAACATCGCCGAGCTTCATCTCCAGTTTGTGAGTTAGATTTAATTGTTCCAGCTATGGTGTCGGGACTTCTATTCTACATCTGTAATATACAATGTATCACTATACAGTGCCACTGTACCACTACACAATATCACTTCACCACTATACAGTGCCACTGTATCACTGTAGTACATCACCAATGTACCGGTCTCCCCTGCAACACTAAGGTTATTACTGTAACACTGTACCAGTGTCCGAGGGATATGCCAAGACTAACATTAAGACAGATTTTCTGGGAAAAAACAAACTTATTTTCTTATTCTATTTAGCTATGTATTTACATGTGAACGGGTTAATTTTTGTAGTAAGAAGTCTCAATGCGTCATCAGGAACTATGCAATGTTGGAAGAGAAGCAACAGGAGAAAGGAGTAGGGTAGGGTGGGTGACACCAACCACACCAACTGATTATGAAGGGGCATATATCGTCTGTTTCCTGTTCCCAGTTTCCCTTCACACAGTTATAGATAAATTACGGTGTTGAATATTTTGGAAAGGGCTTACCTGGAAACTTTTGAAAAACGGCCAGCATTAAAGGCTCATTTAGAGGTTTTTACCGAGGGTTCATCAGTGTAATGGTTCAATTGATGGGTTAATTTCTCGCACCTCACATGCGAGGGAGGGAGGGAGAGTAGAAAGGAGGAAGGGAAAGGTAGAAGGAGGTGAGAGTTGCGTAAAGGAGGAGTGAGGTATGGATGCTGGAATGAGAGTGTACTAAGAAAAGGCATAGAAGAGATTTTACATCTATGTCGACACCGGATGCACAGTAATGAAAAGACGTTTCGCTCTGTGTGGAGCTTTATCGAAGTTGATAAAGCTCAACAGAGCTAAATGTTGTCACTTTTAGAGGTTGTTTCGGGTGCAGGTTCATTTCTTCCCGTATCGAAGCTTGCTGCTGAGAGGAACTATCTGCCAGCTAGCCACTGGTGTCTCTGTCTAGATAACTGAGGTCAGGATAGCATAGCTGAAAGTTCTCATCCCTCCGATCCCTCCCTCACCCACCCTCATCCACCCTCACATACCTTCAAACCCAACCTCACCCACCCTCACCCACCCTCATCCACCCTACCCATCCTCATCCACCCTCACAACCCTTTACCCCACTCCTCACCACCCTCACCCACCCTCACCCTCCCTCACCCACCCTCACCCACCTTCACCCCCCCCCCACCCACCTTCACCCACCTTCACCCACCTCACCCACCCTCACCCCCCCTCACCCACCTACACCCACCTTTACCCACCCTCACCCACCTTCACCCACCTTCACCCGCCCTCACCCACCCTCAACCCCCCTCACCCACCCCTCACCCACCCTCACCCACCCTTTACCCACCTTCACCCACCTTCAACCCACCTTCACCCACCCTCACCCACCTTCACCCACCCTCACCCACCTTCACCCACCCTCACCACCCTCACCCACCCTCACCCACCCTCACCCACCTTCACCCACCTTCACCCACCTTCACCCCACCTTTACCACCCTCACCCACCTTCACCCACCCTCACCCACCCTCACCCACCCTCACCCACCTTCACCCACCTTCACCCACCCTCACCCACCCTCACCTACCTCACCTACCTCACCCACCTTCACCCACCGTCACCCACCCTCACCCACCCTCACCCACCTTCACCCACCTTCACCCACCTTCACCCACCTTCACCCACCTTCACCCACCCACACCCACCCTCACCCACCTTCACCCACCTTCACACCACCCTCACCCACCCTCACTCACCCTCACCACCTTCACTCACCTTCACCCACCTTCACCCACCTTCACCCACCTTCACCCACCCTCACACCCACCCTCACCCACCCTCATCCACCCTCACCCACCTTCACCCACCCTCACCCACCCTCACCTACCTTCACCACCTTCACCCACCCTCACCCACCCTCACCCACCCTCACCCACCTTCACCCACCTTCACCCCACCTTCACCCACCTTCACCCACCTTCACCCACCTTCACCCACCCTCACCCACCCTCACCCACCTTCACCCACCTCACCCACCTTCACCCACCTTCACCCACCCTCACCCACCCTCACCCACCCTCACCCACCTTCACCCACCTTCACCCACCTTCACCCACCTTCACCCACCTTCACCCACCCTCACCCACCCTCACCCACCCCTCACCCACCCTCTCTGTCAACATTTAAGGCTGGAAAACAATGGGTGAGCAGGAATCTCCATTTACTGAAAAGCCAACATGGATGTTTTAAAAAAAATATATGAATTTGGACTACTACTACTACTACTACTACTACAACTACTCCAACAACTACTACAACACACTACTACTACTACTACTACTACTACTACTACTACTACTACTACTACTACTACTACTACTACTACTACTACAACTACTCCAACAACTACTACAACAACTACTACTACTACTACTACTACTACTACTACTACTACTACTACAACTACTACAACTACTACTACTACTACTACTACTACTACTACTACTACTACTACTACTACTACTACTACTACTACTACTACTACTACTACAACTACTACAACAACTACTACTACTACTACTACTACTACTACTACAACTACTACAACAACTACTACTACTACTACTACTACTACTACTACTACTACTACTACTACTACTACTACTACTACAACTACTACAACAACTACTACAACAACTACTACTACTACTACTACTACTACTACTACTACTACTACTACTACTACAACAACTACTACAACAACTACTACTACTACTACTGCTGCTGTTGCTGCTACTTCTACCACTGCTACTTCTTTTATTATTACTGTTACTTCTACTAATGCTACTTCTACTATTACTACTACTATTACTACTACTACTACTGCTGCTACTACTACTACTATTACTACTACTACTATTACTACTACTATTACTACTACTACTACTGCTACTACTACTACTACTATTACTACTACTATTACTACTACTACTACTACTATTACTACTACTATTACTACTACTATTACTACTACTATTACTACTACTACTACTACTACTACTACTACTACTACTACTACTATTACTACTACTATTACTACTACTACTACTACTACTACTACTATTACTACTACTATTACTACTACTACTACTACTGCTATTACTACTATTACTACTACTATTACTACTACTACTACTACTTCTACCATTACTACTACTACTACTATTACTACTACTACTACTACTACTACTACTACTATTACTACTACTACTACTACTACTATTACTACAACTATTGTTACTGCTACTATTACTGAGTCTACGTTAACGACACTCCACAAACGCCTGGTGAATACTGACAATAATTTCGACACAAATTTTCTGAATTCGGTTATAAAGACCCCTAATTTTATTAGTGGCCTCTGGTTACATTGGCTCTGGGCAATGAAGGACATTTCGCCGTGTTTACATACTGGTCCGTTTAAGCGACGTTTTAATATCGCTTTGACCAGCGTTGTGGAATATTTGTGAATGATTCTCCCATCAAAGTTAACTTTTTAATTCCCCATCAAAGTTAATTTTTTTGTCAATTTGGTTACGGGAATCAGGTAGAAAGTTGGATTTGAGAACGATTTAAGCCCATTGCGTGTTGATTGGTTTGGTTTTTTTTATTTTCACGTGGGTTTCAAAACTGTGTATGTTTTTGTTATATTTCCTATATATTTGTCCGAGAGAGAATCATTTTTAGTGTGACAAGGGGGAAATATGGAAAGTTTGAAGAAGATAAAGATGATGAAGATGAAGAGCATTGAGATTGTTCATATAGCATCCATGTTTGTGTTATTACATGTGTCTCCATCTATGGCAGTTTCTCCAACGTAGAGTTTCTCACAGTCCCCGCATGGTATAGTTTTAATAATAATAATAATATTAATAATAATAATAATAATAATAATAATAATAATAATAATAATAATAAGAAGAAGAATAAGAATAATAATAATCTTCATTTCTACTATAACATGTACAAGGTATACAGACCATAGCTGACATCAGTGACATACTACTACACAGAAAGCCATTTGTTTTGCAGAGCATTTCGGACGAAATTCTCTGCTACAGTGTGTCTAAAGGAAAGACGTCGTAATGTTTCAAGCTATACCTGGGATCGAACCCCAGACCTCAGTGTGTGAGCTGAGTGCGCTACCAATCGAGCTACGGGACGGGATGTTAAAAAAGCAAAGGTTGACATAAATAAAGATTTATTGTCGTGGTGTAGCAGCTCCAGCATCACCACATTAGTGCTAAAAACTAAATAACTACATAAGAAGGAAAGTAAATTAGTTTATAAGAATGAAGACTTAACAAGTCTAAAGAACATTTTAAAATGATGTTAATTACCTGACTACGAAGAAGAAAATAATAATAATAATTATTATTATAATTATATAATAATAATAATAATAATAATAATATAATAATAATAATAATAATAATAATAATAATAATAATAATAATAATAATAATTATATAATAAAAATAATAATAATAATAATTATTATTATTATTATTACTATTAATTATTATTATTATTATTATTATTATTATTATTATTATTATTATAAAAATAATTAATAATAATAACAGCTTACGTGATTACAGAGTTTAGGTCGGTTACACGACACAACATAAAATATACCAGATAAACTTTTCCACTTAAAAATTCAATTTTTTCCCCAGAGTCAGGCTTAAATATATTAAAATATAAAACAGTCATTAAAGGTCAGTGGCCAGAGATCATGTTTCTGTGTGTGTGTGTGTGTGTGTGTGTGTGTGTGTGTGTGTGTGTGTGTGTGTGTGTGTGTGTGTGTGTACTCACCTAATTGTACTTACCTAATTGTGGTTGCAGGGGTCGAGACTCAGCTCCTGGCCCCGCCTCTTCACTGATCGCTACTGGATCCTCTCTCTCTCTGCTTCCTGAGCTTTGTCATACCTCTTCTTAAAACTGTGTATGGTTCCTGCCTCCACTACTTCACTTGCTAGGCTATTCCACTTGCTGACAACTCTATGACTGAAGAAATACTTCCTAACGTCCCTGTGACTCGTCTGAGTCTTCAGCTTCAAGTTGTGACCCCTTGTCCCTGTGTCCCCTCTCTGGAACATCCTATCTCTGTCCACCTTGTCTATTCCCCGCAGTATCTTGTATGTCGTTATCATGTCTCCCCTGACCCTTCTGTCCTCCAGTGTCGTCAGTCCGATTTCCCTTAACCTTTCCTCGTACGACATTCCCTTGAGCTCTGGGACTAGCCTTGTTGCAAACCTTTGTACTTTCTCTAACTTCTTGA